TGTGTGTGTGTGTGTGTGTGTGTGTGTGTGTGTGTGTGTGTGTGTGGTTTAATACACTGTGAGTCCTCCGGCATTCTGTGGTGCAAACACTTGTCATGTTTCACTTCAGGTTCTGAAAATAGATGACTAACATTTTATTGTTTCAATGATGCTTATCAAGTTGCTTTCCTTTCCTTTTTTTTTTCTTTTAAAAAAATGGATCTGGCACTCTGGAAATAGATGCAGTATTTGGATTGTACCTGCAGGTTTTTAGTGGTGTAAGTCTGGACTCTAGAAGTCCTAAGAAGGCAGGCTCAGCCCAGTTAAAGTCACAAGTAATACTGAACAGCAGAGGAAAAGAAATACTATTCAATATGGCCACATTATGAGTAAGTACATATGATGATATTTGTCTTTCTGGGTCTGGGTTACCTCCCTCAATATTATGTTTTCTAGATCCATCCATTTTCCTGCAAATTTCAAGATGTTATTTTTCTCTGTAGTAGTACTCCATTGTATAAATGTACCACATTTTCCTTATCAATTCTTTGGTCGAGGGGTATTTCGGTTGTTTCCAGGTTCTGGCTATGCCAAACAAGGTTGCTATGAACATAGTTGAGCTCATGTCCTTGTGGTAAGATTGAGAATCCTTTGGGTATATACCCAACCCCTGCTCCATCTTTGTCCCATCTCCTGTTCTGCAGTGTAGACCTACAAAGTGGTCTGAGGAGACACTGGTCTCTTTGTAGGTCTCCCCACTACGACCTTTGGCACCTATCTGGCTTCAGTAAGATGAGTACCTGCGTTACTAGAATTCAGCTTCATCTTCAGGAATAACTGTCCTTCTCTGGGGTCTGGCCTGCCTTGACAGCTTTAGCTTCTCCTGGAATTTGAGTGGACTCAGGACAAAAGGTTAAGGATAAATAATTTGCCTCTGTACATTCAGCCAAAGCATGCACACAAAATGAAAGTGCCGCTGAGGAGTTAGACGAGCTATGCAGTCTATGCTGACAGCTATCAGAACATGTGTCCTGCCAGGCATAGAGCAAAGGATCTTTTAGATCATACTACTACATATAGGCCCTTGCATGGGAAAGGCTGGTCATTTTAAAGGTTACTCTGACTTAGCTGCTGGAGAACACATGCATTTTCCTGTCTTGTCATTTGTTTAGTGCCATCGTTCCCTATCTTGTAGACGTTCATCCTCCTTATCACTGGGCTATAGAAGCATGCAGAAGAATCTTCAGTAGCTCTGTGCTTCTGGAGCAACAGAAGAGCAGTTGTAACTTGAATAAAGAACTACTACTTAGAGAACAAAGAGATACTGAGACAATTTCCCATAATCCCCCTGCGCTCCTCCAACTCCTCCTCTGTCTATTGATTGATGATACGCTGTCAGTAGCTTTAGCCTACATTCTCTGTATCTTCCCATACATAATCGACTACTAATTGTGTAGCCACATTGGACTTGTTTATCATTCTCTGTGTGTGCATGGTGTGCGTACATGGGCGCACACCACAGCACAGACGCAGAGGTTGGAGGAGAGCTTTATGGAATGGGCTCACTTCATCTACTCTAGCTGGCTTTTCCAGACTTGCTCCTTGACAAGTATCTTTACTCACTGGCCGTTGTTTACCTTAGAAAGAGAGGGAGAGAAAGAGAGAGAAGAAAGAAGGGAGGGAGGGAAAAAGAGAAGGAGGGAAGGAGGGAGATAGGGAGGGAGGGAAGGAGAGAGAATGTGGCTGTTTGTTAGAAAGCTGGAGAAAGATGGCAAGCCAAGCCTTCTGCTTAGGTGGATTTGAGAGATGCATGTAACAAGTCTCCGAGTCTCTCAAGCTCACATCTTCATGGCCACGTTTCTGCATGACCTAAGTCTAGGATCACAATGTACTCAAGCCTGACACGATTACAAGACACGTTAGTATGAAGTTTACATGCACAGAGTACCTTCCTGCTGAGCAGCACTGTTATTTTATTTTTCGCATGTAGGCAGGTGTTAGTGCCTTCTGGTGGTCAGAACAGTCTGAATTCCCCAGTCTCCCTGATAGAAAGCCTTCTGGCAGGACACAGGATGCAAGCCTAGGTGGAGTCAGCAGAGGTGCTATAGGGGGTCATATTTCTCCCATGCTCCTTGACTCTTACCCTCTTTGAGAATGCTGCTGTTTGATTTTTAAGAGGACAGCAGGGTGTATTCCAAACTCTCTTGTCATTGATTGATTTGCTTAAATAAGTGATTCATTATTTCCACGTGGAGGCTGCTGCAGCAAATTAGTGTCAGTTACTCTGGCCATCCTGCTTCTGAGAGAACATGCTTCCACAGGAGTGCTAAGACTGACTTTTTACAGAACAAGAGGGCTTTTTGCAAGGACTTTTGATTTCCCTTTAATAACGTATAACATTTGGTGGCATAGGACTGTCTAGTGAGCCCTGCTGAAGCTCAGCATTCATGCACAGATGGCATTAAGTGGGAAGAGATCAGTGCCCGATCCGCTGTTTATGAATGAAAAGTTCCCTCCCCTCTGTTAGGATCATGCTTCTTCCCTTTGCAGCTTTCTGAGAATGAGGTCAGGGCCAGGATCTAACTGCTTCTGGCTCAAAAATAGCAGCTCAGCTCCAAATTAATCCATTTGCTGTAGAATGAAAAGTGGAGGCCTGCTTATGTGTTTGTTTTCTGTATACCTTTGCAAACAAGCTGTGAATGAACCCCATATGAAGAGGCAGGGCCAGCCAAGAGCGAGTGCATGGGAGCTGGGCGCTGGTGATTGTGGATAGGCTGTGGGAGCTGCTTTTGTGTCATGGGAGCCTTGATTTGAAAAGCAAAGCAGAAGAGGAAAATAGACCCCAGTTGTCTAGTACTCTAACTGCTTCTCTTCAGAAAGAAATGCTATCAGTTGTTGAGGACACCGTGTGTTCCTTATATTGTGCCCAGCAGTTTTCCACACTGTGTAGCCAGCTTCTTTTCTCTCTCCTGTGGTTTCATGGGTTTTTTTTTTAACAGTGTTTAAAATGAGTATTACATGCACATTGCATTGTTTATCAACCATATCAGCATACACAGAAAAACACAGAAGTGTGAGATTCCCTCTTACATATATACAGATATGTGCACATGCATACACACACACACACACACACACACACACACACACACACAGTAGTGCACCACAGCCTGATCATGCCTTGTCTTTGCAGATGGTGGAGTTAACTTCTGCCCATCATCCCATGCCAGCCTGATTTTCACACATGGCTTGGGGAGACTGACATTTCTAAGGATCTTCCCTGCAGTCTCTTTAGGATTTGAGTATATCTAAAGGGCTGGGTTTGAGCATTAGGCGGGCATTATGTGTGGTGATAATGCTTAATTTCTGATCTCAGCCTTAATTGTTGGCTGTTAGCATCTGTTTTTATGGTATCATCTTTTATTTGTAGTAATTGTCTTCTCTGTGAAAGATGAAATGAACACATTGGAACCTTGAGAAAAGGACAGAAGTGTCAGTAGCAGCCTGTGTTACATGTCCATTCAGTGGACTTTTATGTAGCAGGTGCATGTTGAAGGAGATGCCAAAACTGTCTTCTGTATTCGTAATGATTGATCTTGAGTGAGTGCATAACAGCTTAGAGATTGTCATATAACTAGCTGACCAGATGTATGACCTAATTGGCTTTTTTGCACTTAAATGATTTATGTTTTAATACTTGAGAAATTCTATAAGCACACATAGAATCGAAAAAATTTGTATCTCTATAGAAGTGTGTGTATACCCATAACTACAAATATACACACACATACACATTCAAAGAGACATCTGTAGTAGCAAATGTGTGCATTCCAAATGGATATTTCTTATATAGTGACAGAAAGCAGATTAGTGTCTGGGACTAGAGGATAGAGCAGGGGTTATTAATTTCACAAGCAAGAAAGATCTTATTGAGATGATAAAAATGTTCTGAAACTGGATCACAGTAGTGCCACATAGGTTGGTAAATTTCACAAAGGCCATTAAGGAATTATATGCACAGAATGGGTGTATTTTCTAGCTCAACAAAGCTGTTAGAAGTGATCATTCCCTTTAAGTCCTAGGGCAGGTCAAGGATGAAAGACTACATCCTCCCGACTCTTTGTACTTTCTCTTTCCCTTTGAAGTTTATTGACTTCAATTGTAGAGAAGCTGGTCCTTGAGGTGACAGGGCCAGATAAGAAAAATCCAAGGACATGGCATGGAAAAGTCTCCCCTGACCCCTATTGGCAAGGAGCAAGGTTGTTCCCACTGCTGGGTGAAGAGCCATCATCTGAATTGTCACAGGACCCTGAGCACAGGAGATATGGAAGCAGGTTCTGGAGGTCGTAAGCACTGTGCCTCAGTCAATCGTTGCTGCCAATCAGAAGTGCAAACTCTATGGTCCCAGCCCTTAAGTAATGGAATGTTTGTCTTCTTTTGCAGGTCGTGTTAGTCTTTGCTCTCAGCATTGGTGCCCTTGTAATATACTTCATAGACTCGTCAAAGTGAGTATGCATATATGCTGTCTTGCCCATTTTTCTAGGTCAGTTGTGACTCCCTTACATTGATGTACTTATTTAACACTGGCCTTTGCAAGAATCTCCTGCGTGCTGAAGGCTTGGATGAAGGCAGGGCTGCTCTGTGTTGCATTTCTGAATGGGAAAAAAATTCTCTCAAAAGGAAGGCTTTGTTGATTCTACTGTTATGGGAGGGAGAGGCACTTGGGGACCAAGCATTATTGCTGGATATTTGTTTGTAATGAGCTGGTTCCTGATGGAGTATTTGTACTGAAGATGCCAAGAAATTAAGAAGGTTTTAATGGGAATGTGAAACCTCTGGAAGGGATGACAGAATCCAAGAGATGAGTCTGAGCCATTCTGGTCCCAGTCATAGGATCTATTCATCATCCAGGCTTAGGTCATATTGGAGGATTGTTTAGAAAACCCTGTTCTAGGATTTCACCTGCCAATGGAATATGTAACTGAAGCAATGGTCACAGTGTTTCTTCACTTATGGAAAGAAAGCAGGAAATGGGCTGAGGCTGTTCATGAGGACACCCAGAGACAGGTCTGTGGCTGTCTGAGAACCTGTAGAGAACAATGCTCATGCAGACCCTTTGACTGGCGGTTTTGTGACCTGGTGCTCCAGGGTAAGCATCGTTCACAGATGGTGCAGGCCGTCTGGGAGGCTGATGAGACCAGTCACCATGGCTACGATTAAATGCTGTGGGTACCACTCCTGGTTGCATGACTTGTTCCAGCGATCCTACTGCAATCTCAAAGTTGACAGCATCTGAAGCAGAAATTTCTGGGGATGAATTTGCTTGTCTGTTTGGATACAAACTTGACAGCTCTAGACAAGGAAAAGAGTCCTCATTGAATACTTTGAGACTGTTTTTCCTTCCTCTATTACTAATCCTTGGTAGACCCTAGACTTTGATCCTGGGACACCTGCCTTGAGTTCCTGTTAGTTACTAGATATGCCGCAATTCTGAACTTAATGGTTTTTCCCCATGACACACCTAAATTCTGATCACTAGCCAGGGGATTTTGTACATTTGGCTCTAAAGGCCAAACTGTCACATCCAGGAAAATAAACAAAACAAAACATGTCTGCTCATCCATGTCTGGAATCTGCCAAGTATGAGGCCTTCAGAAGTTTCTTAGCCCACCACAGACACAGACTGTGTGCCCTGACCTTTCTTGAGCCCTGGGTCCTTTAGACATCCTCAGGGGACAAGTGTGCATGTTTATTTCATCTGAAATCCCCAGTCAAGAAAAAGAAGAGCATAATTCGGTCTGGAAGAGTCCAGTTGTCTTTGTGTTAAGGTAAGGCCTCTTCTTGTGTTTACTCAGCGATTCTGGACCAATTTGAAGTGAACTGGAACTCTTAAGCCGTTGGTCACCTCTCTCCAATCTCTCTCCAGGGGTCATGGGGTACAAACCCTGCCAACGCCTGTGCTGGGGCTTAGGAAGGAGGTTCGAACATGTAGTCTGTGTGCCCCAGAGAGAGCACACACTCATGTGAAGGTGAGTGTGGAGCTCTGCTAAAAGGACAGATGCCTCGGCCATGCCTGCCTTGCCTTCGTCTCCCTTTCTGCCCCCTTTGTATGCTATGGAAATAAAATATTGCTGGTAGATGGATTTGGATGGTGTCTTTTTTAAATTGTGTCTACTAGGAGTCAAGAGTCTGATCTTCCTTGGGAGAGGATGGCAAAGCATGCTGCTCTCCTAAGTGGATGTTCTCTGCTGATGTCTCGCCAGCCTCCAGTCCTTTGGGATTAGTCCTGACTCTGCTAAGTCTTGCTGAAATTGATGCTAGAAACTGTGATTCTGGTTCTTTTAGGGTCATCCAAAGAGTCTCCACCAAGGCTGATATTCAGTTCTGTTTTTCACCTTCCCGAGCAATAATGCCAGTGATCTTAGATACATGATTGTCTTCATTTCCCATAGGTGCTGACCAAGCCCTCGTATGGTGTCAGCCTCTCTCCCCTCCTAACCAAGCAAACTGTGTGGTTTGTTATAACACAGACTTAGTTTAGCAGAACACCTGTTGTTAAATATGTAATTCTGCATTTCAGTTCTACCTCTTCATCTGGCCTGAGACTATAGCCTAAAAGACTCCAACCCGTGGAGAAGCCAGTAAGCAGCCTACACAGAGAATCCATCTTTCCAGGGAGATCCATTAGACATGCTCAGTTTAAGAAGATGAAAGAAAGTAAAATCTATAGTGCTAACTTTATGGTAAGCCTAGAGACATGGTTTTCAACCTGTGGGTCACTACCCCTTTGGGCCCAAATAACTCTTTCATAAGGGTCACCTCAGACTATCTGCATATCAGGTATTTACATTGGAATTAATATCAGTGGCAAAATTAATTATGGGGTAGGTAGCAATGAAAATTTTCTGATTGGGGTCACCACAGTGTGAGGAATTTTATTAAAGGGTCTTAGCATTAGGTCTCAGGCATAGTCAGAATAACCAATGTAATCTATTAATCCAATTGTAATCAAGTGTTGTGAATGAATTGAGATGAAACTCTAAATACAAACTACAAATTGAATGAGCATGAGAAAGAATCACATTCTTGTAGTCTATCTTTTTCATTCAAAACAACTACTGATTTAATAGAAATGACTTGACTGACTATATTAAAAGGAGCTTAAATTTCACTTAAAAATATTAGCAAGTCATTGCCCTAGGAAAAAAGTACCTGATATTCTTGAGATGAATTTGTATTAGTGTTAACCTTCTATAAATAAATAAATCAAGAGTAATACTCTTTGGATTGAGATGGTTTGCAAAATTGATTCTCTCATTACAATTAGCCATAGCTGTCTTCATCCAATTGGTAGACTGGAAATCCCCCAGTTACAGAAACTGGATGCAAAGCTTACCACACCTGGCCCTTTGGGAAGTGCAAAGAGGGGTCATGGAGATGACCCAGTGGGTAAGAGCATCTCCTGAGCAAGCGTAAAGACCTGAGCTTACGTCACCAGAACATTCCTGAAAAACTGAGCATGGTCCCGTGTGCCTGTAACTTTAGAGCTTTGGGGGATGGAGACAGGAGGATCATGACGGCTTATTTGGCTGCCATCTTAGCCCTGGGCTTGGTGGGAGACCCTGCTTTTAAAGGACTAAGTCAGAGGGTGACAAAGCAAGACACCTGACATTCTCTTCTGATCTCTGCTTGTAAGTAAGCCACATGTGCATAAGCCATACACATAGAAAAATTTTAAAAGATTTAAAAAGAGTTCTGCAAAGGAGGCAGATGAGCATATGAAACAGTCCTGGGTGAACTCAGTTGACTGCTCTCAGAGGGGCTGAGTTAGACCTTGCACATGGGCAAGCAGAGCAGATTCTTATTGTGCCTCAGTGAGTCACAGTGGAAAGGCAGCTCAGTTGAGGGGAACACTGTGGTTGGCAGGTGTGACTGTAATGGTAATTTGTCATCTTGCTCACCTTCGGGAATTCATCGACTACAGTATTCCTCACTTCTTCGCTCAACTTTCAGTTTTAGTCCAAGGCAGACAGATCCCTGAGAAGGTCTTGTTCAGTGATATGTTTGCAAATACCCTCTTTGGATCTTCATTTTCTTCATGTGATCTCTGTGGAAAGAACCATTTGGGTTATTTCCAGTAATGACTATTTAGCTACACAATATTGTCCTGAAGTCAACAGATAAAGAGAATCACATTAAAAATGGGTTCAAAGGGTGCTCCATTATCCCAGTGGGAGACACTGGAAAGATTCAGACAAAGAGGGTGTTGTAGCAAGACCTGATTGAGATGGAAGAAATCCCAATCCCTTCATGAGACCTGCAATTGCATCCTTCAGTGGTCCATGCTCTCCAGACGCCTGCCTTCTAACTCTGACCTTGGTGATTCTGTGTGTACTCTTTCTCCTGTGCACCCTGATTTCTATAAAGCAAAGACTTTCAAAAGCGTTCAGTCGGACACCAAAGAGATGCCTCAGCAAGAGAAAGGCATCTGCTACATAAGGCTGACAAATGGAATGTAATCCCTGGAACCCACCTTAAGGAGGTAGATACGGTGATGTGGTTCTGTGGAACTAGCACTCCTGTGGTGGCATAGGAAGTGGAGACAGAAGAATCCTCTAGAAGCAAGCCCATGGGCCAGCTGGCATGGAAGGTACAGCACAGTATCTGACCCAAGAGAAACTCTGCCTTAACATAATGGAAGGTGAGAACATGCTCCTGAGAGTTCTTCCGACCCCCACACCTGTACTGTGGCACATCTCTGTCCATACTTACACACTTCATACACACACAAGCATGTACACATACATATATACACTAAATAATTTTTTTAAATTGTACAGCTAAGTCAAATGTGCTCCTTACTGCCCTGTAAGTGTTAATATCACTGTTGCGTGCTCCACCCCTCTCTTTATCACCAGATCAGTAATACGTCTGGAATAATAAGGGGTGGGAAACCTCATAATGTCCTCATGACGGGTAGGACCCATGGAGGGCATAAGGCAGCAGTCCTTACTGCTTCCATAATTTTAAGAAAAAGTTGGAAGAAACAGCAGCTCTCAAAGCTCTGTGCATTTGCATTTTTCCAGTGGCATTCTGGGAAAAGGTGACTCACATGTGGAGAGATATTTATTCCTTTGATTCATGCTTAAATGCTGCTCCTTCTTATGCTTCAGTTACGTGGATTATGAATATTTAATGCTGCATATACTGGAAATGAAGGTCAGGTCCTGCTCACTGGCGACTTCAAAGAAGCCTCAGTTCTGAAAGGCATACCACCTGCTGTTAGCAGAGTGAAGCGGAAAGGCTATGCATTGTTAAAATCTTCCTTAATGACTCTAGCTGCACCAGAATGGCTGGTGCACAGTTGGGGATGCCTGCTGGCTTTGCCAGCTTTTGCTCTTGGCTTCTGGTTTAAGCCCTGCTGTTTGAGTGAATTAGACATTAGGAAAGGGGAGGGAACCGCAGCACAGATTCTGTAGCGCATCCTATCCAAGTGCTCCATTGC